TATATATATAATACACAATTGTGTTTGTATTACTTTTAAATATGGATGTTATATATTCAGCTAAAAGTGATTTTAATGCTCAGTTAAGCCCACATGAAGCTAGTCATTTAGATGTACATCAAAGTTTATGTTTGGTAAACCAAATAAAAATATAAAATTTTTATAGTATATGGAATTATATGACGTTGTTTTCCCCATCTACTAATTCTAATATTTATAACCAAACTATACTTACCTATACATTGGCCGAAGTCGTTTTGTAAATAATTTTCTGGACATCTACAGACTTTTTTGTTATTTATGAAAGTGCATGATCTAGCATTGAATCCACAATAACACCCTGTTGAATAAGAGTTTTCATTTTTACTATGTCTTAAACCTATTTAATTCAATACAATATAACAAAAATTTAATAGTGAATTGTTAGTGAACGATAATTGTTAGTGAAGTATGGGAATATAAAAAGATATTCCCGCAAACATATTTCAATTTATTCAGTGTTACACACTATAAAAATTTGGTACTTAAGTATCTGCAAAATCATATTGAATGTAACTGTAGAAATTTTTGATGTAATTTTTTACGTTTTCCCAAAGAATCGAATTAATTTTGTTGCTTTAATAGCAATTTGTAAAGTGAAATTCGTCTATATTGAACTTGTTAATAACACTAAATTGTTTTATCTGAATAAAAACTCTTAGATACTTTCTGAACACTTGCTTAGAAATTATTAGTGATCCGAAGCTGAATTCATAAAAAAAATACCGTAGGTAGCTTTTCCTTCATAGATCTAACGTGTACGCTTCCATCAAAACTCAAAACATGAGTATTCCTGAATGTCTCGCAATTCATATAGTTTCGCAATGTATAGCTCTCAATGTATCGCAATTTGTATAGTTCTGCCATATATAAATTTGACTGCATCGTAATTCGTATAGTTTCGTAATATGCAGTTCTGAATGTATCGCAATTCGTATAGTTTCGCAATGCATAGTTTTGATTATCCTTTAAAGTAAAGTTTCGCAATGTATAATTCTGAATGTATCGCAATTTGTATGAACTATAACGATTTTGTCGTTAGACTGACGGGTGAAATTCTTGCATGAATTTTTTTTAACCTAAACTTAAAATTCCATACATGAATATAAAAGCCTGAACTTGAGAAATATTTTATGTAATTTTGTTGAAGCAAATTTTATTTAAAAGAATAAAAATTTCAAAATTTAAATACTGTTTTTATATGCAGGTAGTTTCTCCAATGATTTTGTTAACTTATTCTTACCAGTTTTCATCATGCAACATACATAAGTAATAAAAACTTCTCATAAAATTAAAGGTCGATATGATTTACATAATTTTATAAATAACATTGTAAATAGGTAGAATGGATTAAGAATATTAGAAAGCAAAGAGTCATTACGTTCACATTTGCCATTGTTTTCTTCGTAATCAGTTCTGCAGTCGCAAATTTTCACTCCATATGAGTTATAGTAGCATGATCTTGATCCAAATCCACAGTCACATTCTAGAACAAAAATATATCCACATAAATTACTTAGATTTTTCACGAAGTTGAAACGTATAGAGTAAATATAGTTTGATTTTCGAAGGAAATGATTTTTTTTTAAAAATATATACCGAATTAAATAATCTTCTGTAGAATCTTCGAAGTTAAATACCGAAAATAAAACAATCCCAACATAACTTTTGATCTGATAAAAGGGTTTTCGCTTACCAAGTTGTAATCTCCATGGAACTAATTTTAGAAAAATGGGAGCGTAATTAGTCGTAAGTATAGAGGATTATGTTACTATATTAAATTGAGATGGCTTAATGAGTGAAATGCGATTATCTCTAATTGCATAGTTTATTGTGACTACGTACACTGTGGTCCATTCTTGAAAAAAAAGTTCAGTAGAACTTTTTTTTCAAGTTTTCATCTGAAGAATGTAAAATAATTCAATACTTATTCACCGTTTGTTTGTAAAACTACTTTTATTGACATCTGTATTAAAAAGTGATTCATTTTGATTACTGTATGCAAAATGCAATGCATTATTTACGCAAACTATACGTGCTATTATAAGAATTATTTAAATATAGATATTACATACGAAAATCAACTGTGGGAAATAATTGATTGTCGATGGAGCATTGCGTCCTGAAATTCGAACAAACTAAACAAGCAAGTACTCCCAAAATGTGGAACGGTAAAAAGAGGGGTTTCTTTGATTTATGGAAAATTTTGGGCAAAATACATTGTGCATGCTAAAGAAGGAAATAAAAAATGCTTCTTTGTTTCCTTTACTTGAATAAAAGATTATCTTCGTATGCGTTTATTTATTTTGTGCATTTCTTGAAAATAAAATAATGGAATCATCGAAATTAATGAATGTTAATGTACAGTAAAAAAAAATGTACGGTAAAAAGATAATAATACATGACTCCTTAATGTAATTAAATATGTGACTTAAAATTGTATTTCTCAAGAGCGAACTAACTGATTTTATTCAAACTTGTATTTTGTCATATAATTCTTTAAATTAATGTAAAATCTGTACACTTTTCATTTCTAAGTGTTTTTTTGATAATATTGTCAGACTATGAATTTCAATGAACAAGGTTCGAGTAAGAGTCAGAGATCACGAGTTCGAAAAACCTCTAAAAGAGGGAGTTCGAACATTTAAAAATAATTTAAAGACAGAATTTGCATAGTATTAATTTTGTGTTATGCAGCTTTATGCAGCTGTTATTTTGTATATATATAACAAATCAAGATTGGATTTTTTTTTTTTTTTTTTTTTGATTTTCATGACTGTATGTATTGAATTCGTTACCACATGTTATGGAGAGGATATGTTTTCTATTATTATGTTTAAGTTTAGTTATGATTTTTCTTGCTTAATTAAAGTTCTGATTAGTTCAAAGATGACTTTTTCATTATACTTGCTAAGCATTTTCCACAGCGCAACTAAACTCTGCCAGCAATTATTAAATAAATTAATAAATAAAATTACTTTTTTACATTGAATTATCGTTGAATAAATGAGTTTTATGTTAGCGTTAAATTTTTTTTTCAGAATAAAATGCTCACAAGGTATGGCGAAATACGCAAAAAGTAAAACTAAGGTGAAAGGGCTTAAACGTTCGACCGCGGCTTTCCTTACTATATTTCCTTACTATAATTTTCCGCGGCTTTCCTTACTATAATTTTCTTTTTACAGTATGCAAATTACAATAATTCCACAGTATATATTGCTATAAAAATAACAGTATATCACATTTATTGTTCTGTAAAATTTAATAGAAAAAATTGAATTTACGGTTAAAAGTACCGTCACCCTAAATGCCGGTACTTTTTGCCTTAAATTGATACGAAATTTTTTAAACTGAAACTGCGAGTATGTAAGACCTATAATATAGAATAAAAACAAAAATGAAAAGAAATAAATGAAAAAAAACTAAAGAAAAAAAACTAAAGAAAAAAAAACTAAAGAAAAAAAAACTAAAGAAAAAAAAACTAAAGAAAAAAAAAAACCGTAATTTGATCCCCAATGTTCTGTGAACCGAAATACAATTTCAAAACTTGTTTTTTCTGTTTCACAAATTACAGGATTAATTAGTTACAAAGATTGTTGACAGATGACGCTGAAGAATGAAAACAATTATGAAACAATTGTGTCAGAATTTTTGCAATGGCAAGCGCGCAAATTGCAATAGACTGCGTTCTGACAATTCAGCCATAAAGTTTACCTTGGCAAGAAGTTTACATACGTCCGAGCAAAATATCAGTTACAATACTCTAAGAAGCAGAAAACGCATTGTTTTTATAGTTTTTTTGTAATCAGTTGCACTCCCTTTGAAATTAAACTTAGAACTAGGTGAGATTGAAAATTCCACTTTCCTAAGCATAAAGCAGAATTTCTATTCCGTTTAATTTCAATAGTCTTTTTTTTTTTTTTTTTTTTTTTTTTTTTTTTTAATTTCTAATCCTTTTCTAGATTCCCGATATTTTAATTCAAAATTTATACACACTTGTGAAAATATTTGCCACTTTTCTAAATGGCAGCAAATTTAATTTTGCAGTTGCAGAAACGATGTTGTGTGTTAAAAATGGTTGAACGAACAAAATATTTAACTTCATCCGTAAGTTAAAGTCTGTACAAATGTTTCAGTAAAATACATGATGCAATATCCTGAAGATTTAATATTTACCTCTTAACATACATTGTTTTGAAATACTAAAATAAAAAAATTTTCTGTTTTATTGTCGAGTGTAAAATGTTTTACTCACAAGAATAACTAAAGAAACGTTTAGAAACAATTAGCAAGCAACTAACAAATTGCACACTAAAACTAAAAAGGCAAGTTTAATAAAATTAATGCTGGCCAAATTAGTACAAAATTAACTGACATTTATACAGAAATTTTAGTTTCTACTAGATTCAGAACTTAGACTTAGTGGTTGGGCAGCTCTGACGAGCAGGACACATCGACCAGAGGTCTATTGTACCCAAACCCTAAAATCATGATTAGCATGAAAGCCCTATGGCTGAAATAAAATTCAGCAAGCACCTCACAGGAACATCTTGCAGTTCCCAGGCATTGACAATATGCTGTCCTAAATGCTCAAATCTTTGAGCAGAATAGACCTCACAATCACAGAGTATGTGTCGTGATGTCTCTTCTTCTAGATGACATCCCCGACAAAGAGAATTTGATTCTATTTCCATAATGTTTAGGTGTCTTCTGAGGATACAGTGACCAGTAAGAAGACCAATGATCTTCCTTATACTGTTTCTGTTAAGCTTTAAGAGCTCCTTATGACGTACACTAGGACAGTCTCGATTCAGCTCCTTAGCTTGTCTCTGACCGTCAGCAGCGCGCCACTGCTCATGGGCGATCTTGCCGTAGAGCTTGAATATGGTTGCCCTAAATGAGGAGGGAGAAATTCCCAGCGCAGGTTCAGGGCCCCAGAAAATTGCATTAGAGCCAGCCCGTGCTGCTTCGTCAGCTAGCTCATTTCCACCGATACCCATATGTCCTGGTACCCAATGCAGGGATACCTTGTTATGAGTGGACAGGTCACAGAGGACCGAGAAGCATTCCCACACTAACAAAGAGGTGAATTTACACCTTGACAGTGATAGGAGAGCAGCCTGACTGTCAGAACAGATGCGGATAGTCGTATTTTGATATCCTTTGTCTATGCATAACTTGCAGCACAAGATAATGGCATAGACCTCAGCCTGAAAAACGGTGGCATAATTTCCCAGGGGAAAGTGAAGTTTGGTACCATCATTGGAGCAGTAAATTCCTGCTCCTGATTTGGCACCAATCTTTGACCCATCAGTGTACCATATCAGGCATTTGCCTTTAAGCCACCGAGGAGAATTGAACCATTCATCTCTAGTAGGAAAATGGATCTTGAAGGGCTTGTGAAAAGCATATCTTAGTGACATATAATCACTAGGCATAATAAAAGAGGATAAATCCTTCACTTGTGAAACAAGATGTCCCCATGACAAGTGTTTGGAATTCTCTTTCCATAGGCCAAGGTACATAAGACGCTTTACGCCTGTCTGAGCTTCAACTTCAATGCGTAAGTTCAATGGAAGAAGCCCAAGTAAGCTCTCTAGAGCAGCTGTAGGAGTGGTCCTGAGACAGCCTGACAGGGCTACACAGACCATTCTTTGTAGTCTGTTAAGATTAGACCTTGCAGAGCTCAATCTAGTCCTTGACCACCAGACGATTGCGCCATAAGTGATGATAGGACTAATAATCATTGAGTATATCCAGTAGACTATTTTGGGGGACAGTCCCCATGTTCTACCAATAGCATTTCTACAAGACCAGAAAATTTTTCTGGCCCTGTTGGTGCAGTATTCAAGTTGAAGACCCCAATTTAGTTTGGAGTCAAAATAAACCCCGAGAAACTTGACTTTCTCCGTGAGTTCCAATTTATGGTCCAGGTAGTATACATTACCTAGATCAAGTTGCCTTTTCCGTGTAAAGGCTACATAACTTATCTTGAATGGATTGACAGATAAGCCTGATTTAAAACACCACCTAGCTACTTCTAGGAGTGCATTATTCATGATATCAGAGACAGTTTTTCCATGTTTGCCTCTGACAACAATAACACCGTCATCAGCGTACCCGATACAGGGAATGCCAAGAGCAGTTAACCGAACTAACAGGGAGTCCATTACCATACACCATAGGATAGGGGACAAAACCCCTTGGATCGTCGGCACTGAACGATCTTGGAAGAGAACTACCATTTTTTCTATACGCATCTTGCTCCTGTCTCAACTTCCTCTCAGCCGTCAGATCTGGATGGAGTCTATCTAAGACGGTCCTTAGCTTCCTCCCCATCAACAGTTCCGCAGGACTAGCACCTGTTGTGGTGGTGGGAGTACAATGTTGTTGAAGAAGGAACTTGGCAAGCCTCTTCCTCCAATTTCCCTTCACAATGNCAAATTTTTTGTTCCGTAAAATTTAATAGAAAAAATTGAATTTAAGGTTAAAAGTACCGTCACCCTAAATGCCGGTACTTTTTACCTTAAATTGATGCGAAATTTTTTAAACTGAAACTGCAAATATGTAAGACCTATAATATAGTATAAAAACAAAAATGAAAAGAAATAAATGAAAACAATTAAAGAAAAAAACCCCGTAATTTGATCCAAATTCCCAATGTTCTGTGAACCGAAATACAATTCCAATACTTGTTTCTTTCTGTTTCTCAAACTACAAGATTAATTAGTTACAAAGATTGTTGACAGATGACGCTGAAGAATAAAAACAATAATGAAACAATTGTGTCAGAATTTTTGCAACGGCAACGTCGTGTAATTAATATAAAGTTTACAGACGACTGAGCAATATTTCAGTTGCAATACTCTAAGAAGCAGTAAGCGCATTGTTTTTTTATAGTTTTTCGTAATCAGTTGCGCTCCCTCTGAAAAACTTAGAAATTAAACTTGGAACTAGGTGAGATTGAAAAGTCTAGTTTCCTAAGCATAAAGCAGAATTTCTATTCCGTTTAATTTTAATTTTTTTCTTTTTTTAAAATTTCTAATCCTTTTCTAGATTCCCGATATTTTAATTTAAAATTTATACACACTTGTGAAAATATTTGCCACTTTTCTAAATGGTAGAAAATTTAATTTTGCGAGTGCAGAAACGATGTTGTGTGTAAAAAACAGTTGAAAGAACAAATTATTTAACTTCATTCGTAAGTTAAAGTCTGTACAAATTTTTCAGTAAAATACATGATGCAATATCCTGAAGATTTAATATTTACCTCTTAACATACATTGTTTTGAAATACTAAAATAAAAAAATTTTCTGTTTTATTGTCGAGTGTAAAATGTTTTACTCACAAGAATAACTAAAGAAACGTTTAGAAACAATTAACAAGCAACTAACAAATTGCACACTAAAACTAAAAAGGCAAGTTTAACAAAATTAATGCTGACCAAATTAGTACAAAATTAGCTGACATTTATACAGAAATTTTAGTTTCTACTAGATTCAGAACTTAAAATACTAAAACCTGTTTGATTGTGTTAGGAACGTTAGAAACATTTCCAATTTTATCAGGCAACCAAATGATTTCCGATGTTTTCTGTTCTGCTTTCCTCAATAACTATAAAATAATGATATCTATATCGTTTTTCTACCTCATTCCTTTAAATTTTAATTTGAGATCTTTATCTACATATTATTATGTTTTTATTATTCTTACAAGATTTTAACTATATCTATATCTATTTTTTTTTATTAAAAGTAAAATACAAGTACTCACCCTGTTCATAATAACTCTCGTTTTTTAATCCAATTATGTTTTTGGAATCACTAGTAAGTGGTTGCAATTTGTTTTCATTCTGTTCTTCTAAAATGTCAGTAATATTTTTAGCTTGAACAGAAACTTGGTCCGAAAGATTAACACCCAAGAGGAATGTGACTAATAGGCAGAGCACAACCATTTTTTAGACCTTTCTATTTAATGCGTAAATACAAATTGGTTTCATAACTAAAGCATTAATTTAAGTAATATAATTTGTCGAAGATAGTAAAATGCGTCAACTTGGATTGCCATATTTTTATTGAAGTATTAACTTGATAATTTGTTGGAGGGAGAAACAGGTTGATAATACATATCCTTATCACCTTATCAGGTTGCCAAGCGAAGTGTTAATTGCTAGGGAAAAAAAGAAATCAGTAGGAAATATTTAAAAAAAAAAAAGATTTTTCTTTTGTAATTAATTAATTTCGCGTTTGTAATTAAGAAAAAAACGCTGTTGAATTTTTAAACTACTGATTTAATTTTTATGTTTTGTATAGCTCTACATCTGCCTAATGTAAAATTATAAACTAAAAATCATTAATGGTGCTGTTTAACATAGGAGAGATGAAATCCATAAATACGCTGAAGTCATCTTTCGGTTTATTGTATCCGTTATTATCACCATGTACCATATTTGGTTTTGTGCTTTGATTAGTTGTTAGCTTAAAAATAATAGCGTTATCTTTAACATAAAAATTAATGATTAACTCGCAATTATATTTATAAATGAGTGAAATTATAGAATAATAAGGCTAGTACTTGAATGTGTATTGAAAAAGGTAATAATAAAAGGCTAAAATAGAAATTCATCATAAATTTTTGCCAAAAGCTAAAATCGTTTTTTTTTCTAAAGCAATATTCAGTGTGAGCCGTTAACATTTATTTTAAGATTTTTTGAAGAAAATAAAGTTAATCAAGATTTCACGAGTGATAAGGAAGAAGGGATTAAAAACATAAAATCCTGTTTGGTTGACAGAGGAAACAGAGAAAAGTTGAAAGACAAAAAAAAAAGTCTGTTTCTTTCGGCAACGAAACTGGTTTAAACATTTTCCTTTTGTGTCTCACTTCAGATTCGACATGTTGCGATATCACGTTTTTCTGCTCGCTTAAACGGCGACGCTTATATAGTGAAATCTGATGTTTATACTTTTTTTTATCTTTGTTTCCGACAAAGATTCTGTACTTCTCGCAGTGGTCCGGGTTCAAATGGTGGATATTCTAGATTTTAACTGGTGGTAGGATTAATGAGTGAAATGTGTGTTATGTAAATGCTATTTGCTCTTCGAAATAGTAACTTTTTATAAACAACTCAAACATGCTATGAAACTTAAGTAGCAAAAAACATGTGGTTAAATACTCAACCTTAAATGTTAAGTAAATATTATAATAATCATGTCTAAGGATGCCTTTAAGTTATTTGAAGACAAAAAAAATTGTATTTGACTACTGAGGATACATTATAGTGCTTACCAAGAAACTTTATTTTTAATGAGACTCAGATTTTTTTGTGCATTCCTGTACATATATATAATATGGGAAATATGCTCCTCATAGGAGAGCGGTCAAAGTTTTGGACTTCGTCATGCAATTTTTTTTTATGTATTTCACCATATCTCGAAAATTTTTTGAACACAATTATAAAATTCGTTTATCCGAAGATAATTACATGCAAAAAATAAATTTCAGTAAATGCTTATTAATTTTTATTACTTAATTTGATATTAGTCTGAAAAATTTTGAAATTTAAGGTATAAAATTTTTTACATCATTTTAAATATCTAATTTTACATGGCAAAATACAGAATCTGAACGAAATCAGTTGAATAGCTCCTGAGAAATCAAATTTTAAATACCGGACTATTTTAAAATTAGATTTCTCAGGGACTATGCAGCCGATTTTGTTAAAATTTTGTATTAGGCCATGTAAAATTAGATACTTTAAAATGAGGAGAAAATTTTATACCTTACAATTCAAAATTGTTTCGTCTATTATTAAATAAAATAATAAAAAATAAAAGTTTTTACTGAAATTTATTCTTTAGTTTGAATTATTTATGGATAAATGAATTTTATTATCGTGTAAAATTTTTTCAATTCGCTTAAAAAGTTCTTAAGATATGGCGAAATACGCAAGAAGTAAAATTATCATTAAACAGGGTTCCCACGTTTCAGGGGTTTCCCAGGGTTCAGGGTTTTAAAAAGTGGTAACAAAATAAAATAAATTTTGATATTTTTATTTCTGTGTAGCCACCACTAAAAATTGTTTTCTAAAGAATATGTATGCACGAAAATTCCAGCACTTAATAATAAAAAGGTATATTAAAATAAAAAAATATATTGTAGCATCGCCCTAAATTTACTACCAATTTTAAAATTTTTCAAGGACCGCGGGAACCCTGTTAAAGTGTCCAAACTTTTGCGTCCTCTTCTGACAGAACTGTGACTAGAACTATGTAAAATTAACGAAAGCCTCAAAACGCTGTAAAAGAATCTTATAATTAATATTACTATCATAATTATTAAAACTATAATTACAATTATTTATGTTATTATAAATAGTGATATAAAATGAATAGGGATATGAATAGTGATATAAAAATTATAAAACTTTGGGCCACGTTTCAGACTTTTATTTCATTTGTATGACTTCAGCTTTTATGCGAGCTTCAGGGCGCATAGTTTCTTTTCCCAACTATTTGGAAGTTCAAGTATGTTTTTATTTTAAAGTTTTTAATAAATAGTTTATTTCATGTTAGTATTCCCCACATTCTGGTCCGTCGAGCCGGAGCCATCGAAATTAAATTTTAGTTAGGGCTTTGGATTACTTTTCATGAGCTTTCAATACGCCAAAATTATTAGAGGAGCTACTTAAGCTGAAAAGAGTATATAAAAGTGAAGTTACTAGGGTAACTAATTCTATCTCTGACTTGTTGCAAGATACTGAACTTAACGCTGCACATTCTGATATTTGTTTACGTCCAAATAAGTGAACTCAATTTGGAAGTTTCAAATCTTTTCAAAGACATCTTAGTTGTTTACGACGAAGAAAATTATTCAGATTACGAAACTGAGTTTTTCGACTTACTGAATAAATTAGATAGTTTTGAATTGTCTTTAAAGAAACGAAATAGTAATTTGACTAACGCACAATTTCAAACTTCGGTTGTAGCTGAAACTCCAAAGATTTACATCAATCTTCCAAAGCTGGACTTACCTACTTTCTCAGGTGATATATTTTCATTTCGAGATTTATTTTCAGTTTCTGTATGCAATAATGAATTATCAGATTCTCAAAAATTGCAATATCTAAAATTATCAGTTAAATGCGAAGTACTATCGTTAATCAATTCTATACAAGTTTCAGATGTAAACTGTGAAAAGGCGTGGAAAGCACTCACTAATGGGTATCACAGTTTTTTTACAGCAAGTAGAAGATATTTTCCTTTATAAAACAAAATTACTTTTAAATTTCATTAAAGCAAGAAAAAAATATTGAATAAAAGAGAAAAAAAAGACTATATATTTATTTCCCTCTTCAAAAACAGGATTGGCATGATTTAAATAATTTAATTTTAAAAAGATATTTGATTTATATCACCTATTTTTTTTTAAAAAATCATTGTCTTATGGCAAAAATACTTTTTAATATAAATTATGAATACACTATCAGGAGTACATTTTCAGTTCATAAATTTTTTTTCTAAGTCTGGTTAAATTGACAATGGATGTGTTATATGGATAATTTAAGACAGGAAAATGCATGTAAATTACTAATTGATGTTCAAAATATACAAAAAAAAAAAAAAAAAAAAAAAAAAAAAAAAAAAAAAAAAAAAAAAAAAAAAAAAANAAAAAAAAAAAAAAAAAAAAAAAAAAAAGAAAAAAAGAAAGAAAGAAAGAAAAGAAGACTAAAGGTGGATTAAATTAGAAAGTAGCTTCAAAATATTATAATTTTTCTGTACATATTTCAACTGTTCTCATGTAGTTTTATGTTTATTTAAATATTAGTACTTTTAAAACTTATATGTGGTTTGTGTTATGAATAATGACAAAAACTTGTTCTGCCAAGAGTAATAAAGATTGAATGATTTCTTTTTTTGTCTCTTGATCTAAATTATTCTTAATTTCATATCAAACTGACCAATTAGCTCTTTGTCTTTGCAAATTCATGAGGGTGTTTAGTGCTGAGCTTGAACAAACAGTAACTAGGGTTTTAATTTCTTAGTGATTAGTTTCTAATGCTGACCGGCCTGTGTAGGGGGCAGGAAACTCTCCTTGCATCAGAAAGGTCGTGGGTTCGAATCCTGGGCAAGGCATGGATGTTTCTTTCGCTCTCTGTGTGCTCTATGTCTTTTCTCCTTTGTGTGTGCATGTGACCCGCCCTAAAAACGGGTTGTGGTTGTGTGAATGACGTGGCAGAAGTTGAATTCCTGGCCGTAGATTGCGCCACTGAAAAACAGGAACAATCGCACCCCTACTGCCTAAACAGGCATAAGGAAAAAAAATTAGTTTCTAATTATTAGATAAAAAAAACTTTTACACGATTCACTTAGAACTTTTTTATTATTTTTGTTACAATATTGTTTGTTAATAATAATATATTTTTAATACGTTTTGTATGAGTTTTCTAGGTAAATGTGAAGGATAAATCTTTATTTTCGTTACTTGAATGAGGGAGGAAAATATTCCCTGCATTTTTTAAACTAATTTTATAATTTTTTTTCACTGACATACATTTTATTGTTAATTTTAAATTTCACAATATGCAAGTACGTAAAACATATTTAAAAAACACTTTTACTTGGCATTGAAATTGAAAATAGGTAACTATTTTTAAAAAAATATATTACAAGAATAAAGTAAATTAAAAATAGAGTAAATATAATATGTGACGGATGGCCCACACATTTTAGTTTATGTTATGCTGCTATTTATGACAGATAAAAGAAAACTGTAAGTTATTTTCAGTCACTGTGGGAAATATTTGATTTTTAATGAGGACAAAAATTTTTGATTTCGATAGTGCAACAAATTTAAATGAATATCGAATCAATTTTTTTACAAAAGTATATTTTTAAAAATTAATCAAATTTTTATGTAAACTTTATGAATGTATTAAAAAGGAAAAAAAAATTCAATTTTTAACCCTGAAATTTCCCGCAATTTTTCCACATTGATAAAATTTCCAGACTTTTCATTGTTTTGCCACCATTTTGATAATTTAAATATGGTAGAGAGAAAAAAAGTGAATTAGAAAGAAAAAAATTAATAAAATGGAATTGAATGTAATTTGTGTTGTTAATATGAAAATAATATATTCTTTAATTTCCATATACCATAATGGAAATATTAATATTATGAGAATGTTAAATACTTATGACGAATTTCTCATAATCAAATATGAAAATAATTTTTGATTTCTTTTTACTTTCCATAATTTCTATTTTTTGTAAGAGGATAAAATCTTCTAACTAAGTATGGAAATGGCATCCTTGCAGTGAAGTGCAAAGTATTTAAAGTTGACAAACATGTAAATAAAATTTTTGATTTTCAAAAATATATTCTACTTTATTTTTACGCATGGTTTCATTAGATGAATTTTACATAGACACAGAATATCACGTGATGATAAAATTTAGATGAAATACTAAAACTTCAAAGAGAAAAAAGTCTTATCATTCATTATATTTTAATATATTTAGAATAATATCAATAAACAGGTATTCCAACTTTTGGCGACATTTCTATTTAATAACACTGCTATGTTTTTTTTTAGAGTAGCAGAGATAACTTCTCAAAATCATATTAAAATGCTAAATAAAATATATAATTGCTATTTCATTTATTACAATTTTTAAAATAAAATAGCGTACAATATTTAACTTAATATAGATTAACAATTAAGGGCAAAATGTAATAGAATGCTTCAAATTTAGTTAGTGACTAAACTAAATAAGTTGATAATAATATGAAAATTAAAAGTTTGTCTTAAAATAAGGGATAGTTAACAAATTAAAAAATCAAATTCACCATTAAAAAAAATCGTGAATTAAACTTTTCAATGCTAATTTAAATTTTAATAAAAGGGTTCCCTAACTTTATAGACTGGGCTAAGGTCCAAAGCAGATGACATTATTGTCAACATAAGTGAAAAAAAAAAAGACTTCTCAAGAAAGCCTGTCTGAAGAGCATTATTGATATAATTTACAGGTTATTTATTTTTCTTTCTTATAATTAAAATTTGACTCACAACACTTGCGATTTCTGAAAAAACATAAGGATAACTATCACATAAAAAATAATGAATGACATTTTAAAATTAAAAACAATTCATCAAAACACAAAACGGGGAATAATTTCCAACCTTTATTTTTGATGAACCTACTTAATCAAGTACAAAATGTATCAAACAACATTAATAGAAATATATACAATGCAGCAACATTTACATTTTTAAATTCGATTTTCAATTAAAAAAAAAATCAAAATTTATAATCAGATTTTTTTGAAAAAAAATTAAGAGCTTTATTAAATGATAAAAGAATATATGTTTCCTTCAATATTAGAATTAGAGTAATGCAATAAAAAACACACTTTATAAAAGCTATTTTTAAGATTTTACAGCAAAGAATAACCCAGCCGCTGAAAGTCGTAGAGTATTTTACAGCGAAAATAAAATAAAAATGTATTTGAACTTTTAACTTAAATGATTAAATATTCCTCCATTGAGTTATTGAATTCCTATCTTTTAGGTAACCTAATTAAATATTCTTTTAGATATGAAAACTCTTTTACTACTTATAAACTCAGATAATTATTTTGGATTTTGACATAAAAAATCATTTAATACTTACTTTTATAGTTTGGATCGCAGAACAAAAAGAATTGTGTATTAGTGATAAAAAATATTGTCAGAAATTTTTTTGTTTAATGTCAATAAATTTAAATTTTGAATAAATTTTTTTTTAGAAGCAGAAAATCTTATCACTATATCAAAGTTATGCAGTGTCATATTTTTCAAAATTAAATAACCATAAATTTAACATTTGAATAAAGGTATTTAATTAAAACAAATGCTTAGTTTAAAAAAATGAAAACAACGAATTTTTGATTAAGTATACTACTTAATATACTAAGAATTTCCAACAAGAAACAAGATCAACAATCTTCATAAACAATATATCAACAATGACAAGCAGTGAAAATACTAAACAAAATACATTAAAGAAATACTATCCTTCCTTTACGCAGAAAAAATAAATAAATTTTCTGCAATTTGCAATGGAAATAGCTAAAAAAATATTACACGCCTTTTAAAGTTTTTAAAACACACTACAGAATAAATAACAAATTACAGTAATTATTTTAACAAAAGATTATGTAGATTTTACAATTACACATTAAAAAAATTGGCAATGTAATTAAGAGTTTCATTAAAAAAGTTCCAAACTCACATTGGCAGCACCAGTTACTGCATAAATGATTCAAGATTGTTTTTTGATGAGTTAAAAAAATATACAGCATTGCATTTGACATTAATTTCAATTCTTAAAAAAATAAAAACACTGTATTCAATATTCAAAGAAAGCTTACAATGAATTAGTAAAAAAGAAACAGAGGTACTATAGGCATAAAAATGATTTAGACACAATTGGAGTTTATGCGCCTCAAAAAAAATGTGAATTTTAACAAAAAAATAATTATATAGTATACTATAAAGTCACGCTACAATGATAACTTGTATTGGATAAATAGAATGGTTTTAAAAATTTATCAAACTTTTGGAGAGGTTAATGACAAAAATATCAAAAACAAGCTCTCCAGTCTCTTAAACAAGGAAGGTACTTGAAGTGTCATTCGCCATTTGTAGATAGTTTTTTTTTAAGTTAGGAACATTAACACCCATTCCAATTATCAGTAACTTTCATTAGTTGTAAATTTTATAAGTTAATAAAAAATTGGAATAATTGTAAATGACGTTAAAAGTTATTTCATCAAAAACAATTAAAATTGCTTTTTTTTTTTTAAAACTGAGATTGATGCTTTGTTTTATTTATTTATTTATCTTAAAATGAACTTCATGCATGGTGGAATTGTTCTTAAATTTTATTTGTCACGTAGATGAAAAGCATGATTGGCTGAAAAGGGTTGTTTTAATAAAATGCTTTCATTTATCCTCAATTAAAAACTTTAATATATGTGTTTTTAAATACAAAAAAAATAAATAAATTCTAAATAACATTTAGAAATTAGAATTAAAACTATATATATACTTATATATTCTAAATTTCCATCACAACTCTGAATTTAAAAGAAACTTTTAATATAACAATTTATTTGCTGAATGTCTTAAGCAGTCTTCTAAGACATTTGCTTAAGGACACTAAGGCTATTGGTGCTTAAGAGCTCTTAAAAAGTGATTTACTCAACTGAGTTAAGTATGGTGTGTTTGGGGAAATTTTTGTGATACACTCAACGATTTTTGTCCCCAGAACTAAAACAAAATGAATATAATAAATCAGGAACTTCCTTATTAGTGCAACAAAAGATATCTTGAGTAAACTAGACACGAAATTATAAAAATTCTAAGTAATAATAGGAAATGTGAAGGTCCACTACATCATATATAAAAGTGAATACATGAATGTTAATAGAAAGTTGTTGCAAGTTCATACATAACATACATTCATAACCTAAGAATGAGGGTTGAATTAAGATGAGCTTTTGTATCATCTTTGCTTTGGCCTTGATTTTGCCTGTAAAAAAGATAGAAATACTAATTAGGAAAATATTTGAACACACATTATTACAAAAAAAAAAAATATTGACATAAAATTACAGGTTGACAAGAAGTAACTTGGACACTTATTTAAATGGTGGTTAGGAATAATGTAAGCTACTTCTCGTTCTTATTAAACAACTAATAAATAAATCAGTTTGATTTGAATGAAGATTTAAATGATTTTTCCTTAAAAAAAAAAATCATTGATTTCAATCAAATGATTTTTTAAAGATATCATTAATTTAAAAAAACATTGTAACATAAGATTTATTGATTTTTATAGTTTCAAAACATACTGCAAAAATAAATATAGTGCTATGTTAATAAGTTTAAATTAGCAAAAATATATAAGTAACTTAATGCAGAACAAATTACAGTGCTTTTAAAATGATATTTATTTAATAAATTACTTTATTCATGTGAATTTTTTAAATGCAAACTAAGAACAAAGTAAAGTTTAATGAAGTTATTACATATGGATTCATTTTATATTTAATAAAATAAATTGAGAAATTTTTTAAATTTTGTGGTTGTTGGCTTGCTGACATAAACCTCAGACAAAGAAATAAAACAGAATGAAATCACATGATATTGACAGATTTTTGACTTTGCTCTTTTGAGTAGTATTCCATATTTAACTTTTTTTTAGCAGCTTCGTCTTTCTGTTGGCAACATTTTATTTCACAAACAGTGCAAATTTTGCATGAATTTTGGGACATCTTTCAGTTATAACATTATTAAAGCAAAACAAGATGAACAGTATAAGTGCTAGTCATTCAAATAGATTTTTTTTTCCTGAAATACAAAGCGAATAGCGAAATAATAAAATTAAAAGATAAGCATATTTTTTAGGTGAGAGAACTGCAATAGTTACAAGTACTCACTTCAATCATTTTATTTTTTGCTGTTCTAGCAGATGCTCTTGTCACAAAAGAGTTAGTAGTCTTTATGGAACTTGTTACCTTATGACTCCTTGTAACAGGTTTCTCCTTTCTAAGAGGAGGGGAAAGAAGTAAAGAATACCAAAATAAATGGAAAGAAACAAAAAATTGAGTAACTTATACTGTTTCAAATCATAAACATAAGTGAAAAATAAATCAAATCAAAATCACTTATTAAACACTAGTCATTCAACATACAATTCTAATGCATTTTTCAATCAAAATAAATTTGGGGTCTAAAAAGAAACTATCTTTGTGTCTAGAATTTAATCTTAGTGTTTTAAATGTCAAAATAAGTGGGAAAAAAATATTATTCAATTCTAAATGTAGTTTTGTAGTTTACTTTAATAATAATAAAAAAAAACTTTAATAAAACAAAAATCTTCAAAGTTATATGAATGGTTACCAGTGTAGCAAATCACTGGTTTTGAAAGCATAAAATTCTAATTTAATTTTTAATTTATTTTAACACAAAGGCTTAAAACAGTGGCCTTCAACCTAGAATGTGCTTTTAGGAGTTGGAGACAGATGGACTCATTATAAGTTTAAAGAGTTGTATACATTTTTCTACATGTTTATTCCTTCCTTTCTAAATGTTTTTCACACTTACTCAATATTAAGAATGATACAAAGTAAAGAAGAAAAAAATCTCATAGATTAATAGCAATTCAATATTCAAGCAATTAAATAGTAAAAAGGGGCAAGTTCATTCAACCCATAAATTTTATAGATAGCAACTCATAATATAGAGATAGCAAGTCATAAATTTTAAATTTATTTAGAGTTTAAATGTAATATGTGTGATAAAATGGGATAAAGATTAAATTCATTATTATAAATTTTCTTTTAAAATAAAGGAATTTGGTTTGATATTACTTGCAATTTTTATTACAAAAAGATCTCCCATTACAGTCTGTTCTTTATGAGAACTTATCGATTGTAAACAAAATAATATGGTCATCATCTATAAGTTCAGTTAAGTATAAGAACACTGCTTCATGAATTGTTTTTTTCTTTTTTTTTTTTTTTAAAATGGCGGGCACTTGGGGTTTGCCCCACTGGCCACAGAAATGCTAGAACTGCTACTCTCTTCTTGTTACCCAGTGGGCACCTGTGGCGAAGAAACGGTGGTGGAGCAGCGTCGCCCACGTCACACNAAGAGAATAAAATGGCGGACACTTGGGGTTTGTACCATTGGCCACAGAAATGCCAAAACTGCTACTCTCTTCTCGTTACCCAGTGGCGAAGAAACGGCGGTGGAGCAGCGTCGCCCACGTCACACAACCACAAATCCATTTATTGGGCGGGTCACATTCACACACAAAGGAGAAAGGACATAGAACACAAAGAGGGAGAAAGAAACATCCATGCCCAGAGCGGGATTCGAACCCGCAGCCACTGGCTCCGCAGTCAGGCCCGCTAACCGCTCGGCCATCTGGCCGGCGCTTCATCAATTGTATGGGAATAATATTTTTTTCAGCATAACAGCAATACATTTTTTAAAATATAATTTTAAAGGTCTTGATGAAAGTCTTTAAAAGTAGAGGTATTGGTGACTTCGCAAATGATGTACTAACCATACAGTTCCAGGTAGACTAGGGGTGCTCAACCTGCGGCCCAGATGCGGCCCGCCAACCCTCGATGTGCGGCCCGCGGCCGCAATCTGAACAAAATGAAAAATTTGTTTTTGAAAAATAATAAAAAAAATTCGGTAATTTAAATTTACACTTTTAAGTTNTTTTTTCCGATAAATTGATTCTGATTTTCGAATTCTGTTTTCCTTCTTAAGTAATCAGTTTTGCATTTTCTAATTTTAAACGTTTTAAAGTATTGTATTTTCTGCAAAGAGATTACAAGGTTAACCGACAAAAAGAATTTAGTGTTATATAAACAATGATGTTTATATAACAATCACCACCAACAATTGCTTTCAATATGTCGGTCTAAACACTTTGGCATGCGGCCCTTCATTGGTCGAACTGCTGTGCATGTGGCCCTTCACTGAAAAAGGTTGTGCACCCCTAAGGTAGACGTTTAAAGATTGTGTTTTTTCTTTCAATAAAAGCAATTTTAAGAATCTACATCTCTTTACACTAAAAAGAACACGTTTTTGAATAAAAATAAATATTAATAAAATTCATTTTATTCAAAAAGCGCCAAAGTTTTAAAGAATTAATCATTACAATAAAATTATTTGAAACCAAAATGATAATTTGAAAGTTATGATACAGTAGGGAACCGATTATCCGGAACTATCGGGACCATCGCTATTCCGGATAACTGATTTTTCCGGTTTTCTGAATCGCTACAAAAAGCCGTTTTTTTATTGTCAAACTCAACTAAAAAAAAAATATTTGGAAATTATCTTAAAGAGAAGAAAAAACAATGAAGTAATACAGTAATGATTATTTCCAAAATGATGGTAAGGTAACATCTTTCAAAAAAGAAAGAAAAATCCTAAAATCTTATGAGGAAGTTTTTTTATTTTTAAAAAATGGAGGGAAAATTTATTGAATTTCGTTCCGGTTTTTTGGTTTTCCGATTTCCGTATAACGGGTTCTGTACTGTAGTAAGTTTTCATAGCATGCTAATAGTTTTAACATATAAATTTTTTTCCAGAGCTAATAAATTAATATTGTTTTTTTAAAATAAAGTATGTTGGTGGTAGTGAAGTGCTAAAATGATTTTGTCCACTGCTGGTCTTTAATATTCTTAAGCCACCATCCAAAAATAACAAAAGTTTTGGTTAAGAGAAAAAAAAAAGATTAAGCTTGACAGAGTTAAGCCAAGAATTATCTAAAATAAAACTATGTGTTATAAAAAATATTTAAAAAACAGATCCTAAAAATAAAAGGATTGGATCTAAATTTCCATTTTATTACTACATGTTTAACCAAAAAAAAAAAAAAAAAAAAAATTAAGGTTTAAAAAAAAGATAATTAATGATTTCCAAAGAAGTTTTTATACAACATTTAAAATTAAACTTGTTCTTCAATTAAAATTTTTTTAGAATTATTAATAATAGGATTAAAAACCTAATAAGCAGGTGTAGTGTTGCTACAACTCTCTTTCCTTTTTATGACTATCAGTGAGCCTATTTCTGCCCAAACTGTCTGACTGTTTTAGATAGCCTCTCTGTAAATAAATTAAGCAGTTTTGGTCTGCCAATTTTTGTGTAAGGGTTGAAAACCTGTGAAGAGGGGCAGGAGAGAGGTGAGGAAGAGAGGGGAGAGGACTGGACTAGCTGCTAGAAGAAGTGGAGAAAAGGATTTTTGGTAGAAAATTCTGAAGAATAAAGATACATCTACCCTGAAAGAATGGCTGCAACAGGACTGAACAATTAAGATAAATCCAGCGAATAATATCCTGCCACTTACAAATAGATCATCAGCTCCTCAACATTTTTAAGCACATGTGCAAGATAAGTGACTTTAGATTTTATTAACTCCAGCAGTGATTCCCTTTTCTTAAAGATTCTTCAAATCTGTTTGTCACATGTTGATATAATATAATTTGTATAGTATAATTTAATATAGTATATAGTAATATAGTATAATTTGTAATGATCTTATTTTATTATGCCACATGGTCAAATTTATTCTCATGAGTAAATCTTGATAATTGAGTTGATCATCATTAAAATTGCTTAAGTTAATTCTATCCCTTGTGATCATTATTTCTGGACAGATATTTTTTTTATACTTTATTTGTATGTGTTGGTGATGATTTGGGATAGGCCTTAGTTGTAAAAATGCATTAGTACTAAATTGTAACAATTGTCCCACTATACTTTACCCAAATTCTCACCACACAGGGTACTCCAAGACTTGATTATTCCAAATTTAGAAGGCATCAAGAGGATGAAAGGTTTCGATAGATAATGAGATCACATATTTTGGTGAGAGGGTGAAAATAGCTAAGGATGCATACAGGCTTTGAGTTTAGGGACAATTCTGGACCCACTGGAGGATTTCATACTGTAGATTGTTGTCTTGTTTATCTGGGAATCACTTTACATTGATGTAGACTAAGCAATGACGTCAGAGAGTGCCATTAGGAAAAAAATCTTGTAATAAATAATCAAATAAATCCTTTAGCACTTATAATGTTAGTAAAATCTTTTGTAGTTATGCTCATGCATGGCGTCGAAACCCGCTAGGGCTTTTTCTCTCAATCTTTTCAATCTTCTCAACATGGTTTGTGACCCTTATGGTAAGTTTTCATCGTCATGATGCCTTTTATCACACCTCTCAATTCTTTACTCAAATTTCGGAATGTCCTGTAAATTTACCAGTAGTATGACTACATTTAAAAAAAAAAAATTAAGGATTAAAAGAAGAAATGAATAAATTTTCCCTGAAGCTTTAGTAACCAACTCTGAAACATATACAGTTTAAATTTTCTAAGATATAATGGAAAAAAAAAACTTATAACTGACTATAAAAATTTAAACAAGTATTTTATCAAATGATAGTTTTCATTAAGTGTAAGAAAGCCACACAAGCTTGTCTTTTGGTGTATTAATAGTTTTAAATTGTGCAGTTAATACAATCTGAGGAATAAGGATGCAAGCAATGAAGAAAATAAAGGAGGAAAAATATTAAAGCAAATAACTAGTTGGTAGACTAAAAGACAGTCTATTGAAATATATTCAAGTACATTTAAACTGAATTTATAAAAATGAAATGGAAACAAACTAACTATAAGCTTGTAAGATAAACAGGATATTATAAAAGTAGTACTTACAATTCTGACCAAACATTCTTAATTTATTAACAAAAAAAAAAAAAAAAATTAATTGATTTACCTCGACAAACTGTTCTCCTCAACAGACTCGTTAATTTGATTGAACAGGATTTTAGATTTATTTTGCCATACGGCATTATTTTGGGAGTTCTGAACAATGACTGAAGCAACACCAGATTTTTTGGAAGCATTCTTTAAAATAATTGATGTAAAGCTTTGTATAGAGTCCACAGAAGAGCTCTCTTTTGTATCACTTATGGAGGAACTGGCAGTTTGTGAAGACTCTTCTTCCACAGCAGAGGAAGATGCATTGCTACGTAATGAGTGAAGCAAAGGGGCTGTATCTTTCTTCCTACAAAGAGTATTTAATAAAGTTTACATATAACTTATCACTCTTTATCAAGACAAACACAGAGTGTGGTAATTAAAGTGCAGTGTTTAGAAACTTTAACATATACAATGTACAGAGAGTAAAAACTAGATATAAAGAATACGGCATATTGAAAGAAGTTCGCTATTATGATTAGTTTCCAAGTAACCGTCAAAATGTTAATATACAAAATCGTATGTTTATAATGAAATAAAAATTCCAGCATCCCCACTATAGAGACGAGTTTTTTTAAAAATTTTTATAGAATAATACACTTTTCTACTGTTTAAGTTAGCAATGTTTAACATGCAAAGGAAAAATGGGGATATTTTTATTCATTTTAAGAGAAGGAAAAAACAAACATGCATCATTCCTCCTTTAGGCTGTGACCTACTGCACATGAACTAAGTTGGCAGAAGATTGAAAAAAATATATTGCAGGTTTGTTAGCCAAGATATGTTAGTAGAAAAATGGATTAAAACTTGATACAGAAACACAGCTGTACAGTATTCACAGTGGGCATGTATCAGAGGAACAGTTTATTGTACGCGAACAGTCTACATTAACAACTATGGTAAATAAAGAAAACAGAGTTTGTTGTAAACGAAAAACGACTACCACTATCAATACGTTTGGGCGACACAGTTTGCTGTTGATTAAGCACAACAGCTAAGTTAAATTCATTCTTACTATAGATATAGACAGGAAAAACACCACATTGTTGAAGAGGAAATACAACTGCTCGATGGCTAGAAGGTTGAAGTAATCCTTAAACTCCCTAATTTCAACCACAGTTACAAGTCAGGATATCACCTTTGTTGCTATTGGCATGACACACAGGGCTGACTCTCAACGTTCAACAACTCAGGGATACAAAATTCCACATACAGAAGAAAAGGTATAGAATTCAGGTTTAAGATGTATATACTTGATATTTGGAATTGTTTTTTTTTTAAAAAATAAGAGTGAATTCAGGAGTCAATTCATTGATTGAATACTCGCAAAATTTACAATTTTGAAGTTAAACATGAAGGTTTGACTTACATACTAGAAAATGTATTTAAACAAGCCATAATTTATATCTAAACATCAAATGTTTTTCTTATATTGTAGAAATAAAATTTGAAACCAATATTGATTCACCCCATATTTAAAACTATAATTGCTATAAAATTCATTGATCTGTCAGATACACGTAAGATACTATTACTATTTTTTAATATTTATATTGGAGCAGCAGTTAAAATTTATAAAAGTAATATTTAAAAATCCCTGCTAAATAAAATATACCCCAATTTATAAGAAATATGCTTGAATATAAAGATTTTTTAATACATTTGGTATGATTTCTGTAATAGTAAACAAAATTATACATAAATTATTATTTTTTTAAATGTGTTTCTGCAAAGTAATGCCATTGACTGTTGCTTTAATTAAATTGAAATTTCATCAGATATACTTTCTTTCTCAACCTATATAAAGATAAATAATAAAGAGTTCATAAAAGTTAAGTAAAAACATTTTTTAAAATTTTCAATATATTGTAAAATATTTCTAACTCTCTATTTTTTTGTGCTGCGATATATTCTATAAATAAATAATTTATTATTATTTTTGTATTGAACTTTACGAAAACTGGAATATACTAATAAAACTACAAATACATAATATAAAAAACATTATTTTTTAAAAATAGTTTAAAGAGATAAGACAAGTTGTATGATGATAAACTTACAATTAAGAAAAAAAAATTAAAAAAAATTCAGAAAAGCTTTAAGAACTATTAAAAATGCATGTTAAATGAAAAATAATGTTTTAAAAATCTCTTGAAAACATGTCTTATAGTAGCATTTTTTTTATAATATATATATACACATTGTAACTTGTATTTACAAGAATTTAAATTAAAAGTTAATTATTAGTAAAAATAAGATCAGTAAAATAAATATGTACTTTATAGATATAATAAAGATAAACAGGAATTTATCATATTTTAATTACAATCTTCAAAAGCATCAATGTTGCATCTTATTACCAAAATTGAAAGATTGCATATAGCCCAAAAGAAAATTCTTTATACAGAGTGTAACACAACCACACTGACAAACTTCTAGGGAAGATAAGGCATATCATAAGGATTAAAAACCCAGGACTGGAAATGTCATCGTACGCGGCTAGGGAGCTTCCTTTTATGAACTGTTTCAAGGTATGTCTTTGAACAGGTATTTTTATTTATCAGACTTATTTTATTATTACGTTTTCTAACAACTATTGAGGAAAATGGCATTTAAATTAGTTCTGTATTATATATTTAATCTTAATTTAAAAGATTTGGTTTGTAGTTTGATAAGCTAACCAAATTTTTAAACCAGGATTAAAAATCTGATTCTTAACCAATTTAAATGCCATTTTTGACAATAATTAAAAAACATAAAATCAAGAAAAAATTAGAAATATCATTGAAATTTCATAAAAATAATTAAAAAAGGGAAAAAATTCTAATTAGTGAAAAAAAATGACAAAAAAAAAAAACATGCATAATGCTCAATAAGAGAAAAAAAATGCATTTATTATTGAAATTCCAGTCCTAGCTTTAGCAATATAAAATAAGTATCAAACATTACTTTTTGTTATTTGTAGGCAATTCCTTCTCTGGGCTAGCCACCCTTTTTCTATTACTACTTCTTCCAGTTCTTTCAGATACTTCACTATCACTTAAATTATTCTGAAAGGAAGGAGCACCATTTTTTAATGATTGACTATTTAAAACTAAAGAGCTGTTTTTTCCCCTTTTCCTTTTGATGGGAGAAACATTGTTCAATCGGAGTGTAAATGTACCAGCATACTCTTCAATTTCATCAGAATTTAAACAAACATTGCACTCTTTGATCAAACGTTTGATGGAATCAGAATCTGATATGTTGACACTGATTCCATCCGAACTGTCCATCTGTACATCAGAATTACCACCTTCATCTGATGAGATGGTTTCAGAATTTGAAGCACCGACTTTCGTCCGTCCTCTCTTTTTAGTAATTCTTTTAGGTCTATCACGTTTTCGCACTGATCCATTTTGCACTTCAGTTACTCTTTTACTCTGGTTTTCCCTCGGGACAGCAAATTCCCCATTGCTTTGATTTTGATGAGAATTTTTAGGAGTTGTTTTTTTTTTCTTTACTACTGAAATTTCCTCTTTGTTAGCTAAATCTTCTCTGCTTCCGTTGTCAGATCTAGAATAAGTTAACAAATCAATAATAATTGATTTAGAAATAATTAAAAATTGTATCATGCAGCAAAATAAGTATGAGTGAACTAACAAAAAGAAAATAATTAGAATTCAAAAGAGAATAATCAATAAGCATGATAATTTTCATAAACAATAATTATCTTGGAAAATAGAATGGATTTTTAGAATAAGATAAATAACCAAAGATACAAAGGATCTTTGGTTATTTATTTTATTCTAAAACTCCATACTATGTAACATGATAATTAACAGAAAGATAAGACATGATGAACTTACAATTAGAGATAAATAAATAAAAATGCAGAAAAGCCTTAAGAACTATTAAAAATGAACTTTAAATGAAAAACATGTTTTATAGTAGCATTTTTTAATAATATGTATATATATATATACATACATATATATATTGTAACTTGTATTTATAAGAAGTTAAATTAAAAGTTAATTATTAGTAAAAATAAGATCAGTAAAATAAATATGTACCTTATAGACAAAATAAAGATAAATAGGAATTTATCATATTTAAATTATAATCTTTAAGACCATCTATGTTGCATTTTATTACCAAAATTGAAAGATTGCATATTGCCCAAAAAATTCTTTATACAGAGTGTATCACAACCACACTGACAAACTTCTAGGGAAGATAGGGCATATCATAAGGATTAAAAACCCATGACTGGAAATGTCATCGTACGCTGCTAGGGGCTTTCCTTTTATGAACTGTTTCAATGTATGTCTTTGAACAGGTATTTTTAGTTATCAGATTTGTTTTATTATTATGTTTTCTAACAACTATTGTGGAAAATGGCATTTAAATTGGTTCTGTATTATATATTTAATCCCAATTTTAAAGATTTGGTTTGTAGTTTGATAAGCTAATCAAATTTTAAAATCAGGATTAAAAATCTGATTCTTAACCAATTTAAATGCCATTTTCGACAATAATTAAAAACCATAACATTAATAAATTTTTTTAAAAAATCATTGAAATTTCATGAAAATAATTAAAAAAGGGAAAAAAAATTCTAATTAGTGAAAAAAAATGTCAAAAAACAAACAAACCTGCATTATGGTCAATAAGAGAAAAAAATGCAACTATTATTGAAATTCCAGCACTAGCTTTAGTGATAAGTGAAATAAAATAAGTATCAACAATTACTTTTTGTTATTTGTAGGCGATTCCTTCTCTGGGCTAGCCACCCGCTTTCTATTACTACTTCTTCCAGCACTTTTAGACACTTCACTATCACGTAAATTATTCTGAAAGGAAGGAGTACCATTTTTTAATGAATGACTATTTAAAACTAAAGAGTTGTTTCCCCCCCTTTTCCTTTTCATGGGAGAAACATTGTTCATTCGGAGTGGAAATGTACCACCATACTGTTCAATTTCATCAGAATTTAAACAAACATTGCACTCTTTGATCAAACGTTTGATGGAATCAGAATCTGATATGTTGACACTGATTCCATCAGAACTGTCCATCTCTACAACAGAATTACCCCCGTTACATGATGAGATGGTTTCAGAATTTGAAGCACTGTCTTTCGTCTGTCCGCTCCTTTTAGCAATTCTTTTAGCTCTACCACGTTTTTGCACTTTAGCTACAAGAATTCTTTTCCTCCGGTTTTTCTCCGGGGCAGCAAATTCCCAATTGATTTTACTTTGAGAATTTTTAGGAGCTGTTCTTTTTTTCTTTACCACTGAAATTTCCTCTTCACTAGCTAAATCTTCTCCGTTTTCGTTGTCAGATCTAGAATAATTTAACAAATCAATAATAATTGATTTAAAAATAATTAAAAATTGCATTATGCAGCAAAATAAGTATGAGTGAACTAACGAAAAGAAAATAATTAGAAGTCAAAAGAGAATAATTAATAAATATGATAATTTTCATAAACAATAATTATCCTGTTATATAGAATGGATTTTTAGAATAAGACAAATAACCAAAGATACAAAGGATCTCTGGTTATTTATTTTAGTCTAAAACTCCATACAATGTAACATGATAATTAACAGAGAGTGTTTTTTAGTTTACTAATAAACAATAAAAATACAATATTATTAATGAAGTAATTAGAAATATCATTGAA